TAAATTTGTATGTCAACTTGGCTGGGCCTGGTTGAGTGGCTGGGCAGCTGGTGGTAGTTATTCCCCATGATGAGACTGGCAATCAGCTGCGTGGTGGGATCTACCACAAGCAGCTGAGTAGTTCCCTTTGGGTATGTTGTCTGCTGCCCATATATAAGAAGCAACTTTGGGAATGGTCTCTAGCTTATGGCACGCTTGGACCCTGTATGTAGCTGTGTCTTTGCCCAGCAGCCTGCTATGCTCTGCCGACCTTGGGACTTACAATGGACTTGAGTTAATGGCCTGCCGTGTAGTTTGGTAACATCGGGACTGTGCCCTTTTACTTGTCAACCTTGAGCTTGGCGGCCTCAGCACCCAGCAGCTGTCTGAGTGAAGAAACGCCTCTAGCTCCAGTGGGCCAGAAGCAGGAGGCAGAGCTGGACCCCAAGGTTGAGGGGCTTTCCCCCAGCCCTTAGAGCCTGGCACTTTGAACTTGGACTTAAGGCCTTCAAATTGTAAGAATAAACTCCTGTTTTTTAAGGACATCCCATTAGTGATATATTCTTGTCAGAGTGGCACTAGATAACCAGAACACCTGGTAAGTAAAATAGTGTGTTTAGCTCAAACATATGGTGCACACTTAATTTAAAAGGCTTGATGAGTAATATGAACTATGCATTCAGGTGGAAGAGGTTAAGTAGTTGAGATTTTCCAGATTGGGAAAAGTAGAAATATGGTAACATAAAATACATGGAAGCACAACTGTAAAGAATAAGAAACTGAAAGAGTTAAAATTAGAGGTTTTTCATCTCCCAGACAGAAGTGCATCTTTGAAATATTTTCATAGGTAGTGATTTTCATTAGGTGAGAGGCAAAACTAGGTGGCCAACCAAAAAGTCAAAAGCCCTAGGTTTTCAGCCTCGTTTTAACTGTCTATATTAAAGTCGTTGTCTGCTAATGTCACTTCTTATGCTTTAGAACTTTATAAAAACATATCCAGTCAAACTCAACTAAATCTTCACTTCTCCTATAATGGCCAGTGGTTCAAATCTGTAACTCAACTGTGTAGTAACTCTCTTTCCAACCATAAGTGCTCTTCTTTTGAATGTTTCATTATCACATAAAATTTCAACATATGAAAATAAAGTCATCTTTTACATTTAAAATATAAGTCAGATTTTGTCTGATTATGTAATCTCTTTACTAAAAATCCCAAATGACTTCTCAACTCATTCAGGAGAAGTCAATTTTATTATAATGAACTACAAGGTCCTACACAATCTGGCTCCTGGTTTTCTCTCAGTCTTCTGATCTCATCTCCCAAGACTCTCCATCATGCCCTCCGCTCCAGCCATTTTGCCATTCTAGTTGTTCTGTGAAAATACCAAGCATACACCTGCCTTAAAGCATTTGTACTGGGTGTTCCCTGTGCCTGCACCTGCAATGCTCTACTCTAGTTATTCATTTGTTTTTTTTCCTTCAACTCCTTCAATTCTTTACCTGAATGTCTCCTTCTCGTGAGGGTTTCTCTGACTTTCCTATTGAAAATCTCAGCTCTCTCTGCATGGAAACAATTAGTCCAAGTGACTGGTACACCATGTGATTCTCAGCCTATACAGCTAGGAGACCAGAAGAACTAGATGGTGCCCAGCTACCACTGTCAACCACTAGGAGGGGGATCTATGTAGGAAATCCTGGACAGAGTGGGAGATCAATGTGTAACTATACTCAATATCATAAAAAGAAAAAGGGGGGCCAATTTTTCTAGTATTATAGTGCCTGGTAGAACCCCTGAGACCATGGACTCTAGCTACCCTTCAGGTCTGGAATTAAACCCACTCCTGTTGCTTCCAGTCAAACAAAAGACGGGCATATGAGCTGAACATTTACATTATGTAGATG